TATGTCCTCCGGGGCGAAGCCCGGGTAACCAGCTAGTCTTTTTATATAAATTCCGTATAAAAATAACACTCAATAGATTCGAAAAGATGAATCTAACGACCTATATTTTTATATGTTTATCATGAAAATTACGATCGTAGTGAATTTTTGATGATCGATACTCTTCACAGGTTATTCTCAAAAATTCACTGCGGTCCTAATTTTTACGATAAGCATATAAAAATATAGGTTGTTGAATTCGTTTTTTTTAATCCTATCGATTATATTTTTGTACGAGGTTTCTATTTAAAAAATTTGACACCCTCAATGCCCTTCGAAAACCAGTACGGAAGGGTACGATTCTATCATGCTGAAAATGATCTTAACTTTGATAGTTTCCGAAATATTGGCGTGGACGGGTTAAATTAAACACCCTGTATAAGAGATATTTTAAGGTACCAGTTCATGTTTATATTCCACACACATACACCAGGACACACAATTTATTTTATATATATATTCAAATTAAAAATAAGTGTAAATAACATGTAATATGATCTTTTTTTATTTTTTCAATTATTTTTATTTCTTTTATTCCTTTTTGAAAGCTATAGGTAACAAAAAATTGTCATTCTACTTGCATACAAGAGGTGATTATTATCGGACACCCTGTATATACCTAGATCACAAGAAATAAAAAAGTGTTATAAAGAATATAAAAAGACCAAAATTAAAACATATACAATAATTTTTTATAATTTATTCTATAATAAAATAATAATGCAATATATAATGACAAAATTTTTTAGTTTGACATATTTTAAACTTTATTTATGTAAATAACATTCCAAAATAGAAGTATACAATTAGTTAATAAAAAAGTTAAAATAATAATTGTAATAAAAGTAGTGTTTTTAAAAATAGATACCTTATACATTAATCTCTGTAGAATAAGTTGTGTTATGTTAACTAAAATATTTTTTTACAAATGCTGCGTTCTAATATTCACTGCGAGTATTAAAAATCTATAGTTTACGTCACGTATGCAGGCAGACAAAAATGTCAGTACTAGCAACGTAAATGAAAGTAAGATAAACTTAGATTATATAATCTTTATGCTATGATTATAAATATGTAATATTATAATACATTTCTTCTTCTTTTAGAGAGAAAGTATGACATCCCATTATCAATTTGGCGAGAGTTATAATCGATATCCCTATATCGGCAAAGTATCGGTAGGAGAAGAGGATAGTGTTGACTTCATCTATCAATTTGTGAAGAAAAGATTTGTTCCTAAGACCGCTACACTGTTATTTCATACTGCATATTTCATACTGCTCCTGACATAATTGGGCCACCCAAATCTCTAAACTATGAAGGACTATTACCTTTACCTTTTAGGAGCTATGGATCAGGATCGTTGGTATGTGTATATTTCCTGGTATTATCTGTTATATATTGTCATATACAAAATAATCGCAATCTAAATTTACGCTATAAGATTTTGTAGTATTTGCACTTTTTGACTTGTCAATTCAGAATGATGTCGATATCTCAACATCTACATAGCAATACAAATAAGAACCTTTGCAATGGCCAGCTAATTTTATATAGATTTTTTTGATTAGGCAAAGCTAGAAAATAATTATATTAATGTGTAGTATTTAAATTGATAAATAAGATATCGTTAGATAAGTTGGGTTATAGAGTATAATTATATTTTCTATTTTGAAGATATCGAGTTTCATGAAGCTGTATATCCAATCAGAATCTCTTTATACGAAATATATAATCCTGGAAACGTAATTCAAATTTGGGCTCAAGATCCTAATAATCAGTGGCATCAGTTGTGGAATGGATCGTCTCAGATTGTGTCCCCAACATCAAGATCATTTTCCCCACCCTTATCGCATCCATGTAACTTTAAAACTAAAATGCTTAGATTAGTATTTGAGAACAGCTCACCTAAATCTTACACAAAGCTAAATGCTGTGATGCTTATCGGTACATCAGATTTAATCCTTTCTAAAAATCCTAACGAGAGTTTAACTAATCTGTTAAAAAAGTTTAACTGCATGTACTTTTTATACCGTGAGAATGATGATAACAACAGCAGATTTGAAAAGTGCACACTTGGATATAATTCATCTGCAAAAAAATTTACCTGAATCTTGCGTTATTTGTAAAAGGTATTACTATTGTCAACATTAGGTAATATTAAAATCCTTTTATTTTGTTAATAATGTAAATAAATTTGGGCCGATGTTATTTGCAGCGGTGCAGGGACTTCTTGTGAGGTAATCCCTGGTCATGTGCAACCTCTTGGACAAAAATACTCGCGTTGTCTTTTATTAAAAGGTCATTCAAATAACACACAGAGTATGAAACTCTCTTCGGATGAATCCAAGGAGCTACTACGTTGCAGTTTGTCTGCGCTTCCTGTAAAGTATCCTAAGAAGTTTATTTCTTATAATAATATTTATTGTAATATCATCTCGTGTATTAAAGTTTTATATTCTGATCTTCGTGCGAGCCGCGCGCCGGGCGGAGCGGTGTGAAATCACGGTTTCGGCCGCGCTCTCGCACTCGGCGAAGATCGGTTCCCGTCGGCGCTTGTCGGACCTCCGAGGGCTCCGATGCCGCGAGCCGCTAATTGCTCGCGCACACGATCTTGTGTCTTGTTATGAGCGACGCACCGCGCTCTGTCTTCGCCCGACAGATGGTCGGTCGGGCGGCATCCGGCTGGTGGTGACCGGGAGTTCGATGGATCTGAGGGCTGCATCGTTACAGGGTTCAACTTTGTTTATTGTTTAGACTCACATTATGTTTATTGATTTGACTCATGTCAGACACATCGATTTTCATTTTCGATTTTTGATTTCATCACATTACCTTTAACGCAAGTCATCTTCCTATAGTTTGTCTATCTTTGACATAATTTGACTATTAAGGTAAATAATTTTTTCTACTATAATTTATGTGTTAGACTTTCCGACTCATATACTGTAGCTTTAGATTACATATTTGTTATTTTAAGGATTTCTGGCTATACAATCTCAAAAGTTTAATTTGAAATTGATGAAATTCAATAAATTGATAATTGCTGACAGGTAGCTGAATATTAAATATAAATGGGATGCGTTCCGAAACTCAACCAGACAACCTTTTTCCCCAACTGTATGTACCTATCTGTTTGCGTCCTTCCATATCCCCACCCTCTAGCTAGTCTTTCCTTTCCAGTAATTTACCTGAATTTGGATTTGGATTTAGATATATAACTTTTCAGGTCCATGTATTTCGTAGGAGTTGGCAGTCTTGTATATAATATAGATATGGACTCACACAGAAGTTGTACCGCATGACACTAACCGCATATTTTCACATTCTTCTCTTTCTTAATTTTTTTCATTTTATACGGAAGAAATCAACCCTTTGCTGATAAACAGTAAGTAGTATAAAAATAAATAAATAGAAATTAGTTTTTTTAAATAATTTTTTGATTCAGTTCCGAGTTAAATTTCCGGTAATTCTCTTTATTCACTGTGTTCGACTTAGTGTTATATTTGATGAGTTAAAAAATATATTTTAAAAAATTTTAATAACTTAGAAGCGTAAGCGTAAGTATAACGAACATGAGCAATTTATTTTTTTTTAGTGCTCATGCATGCGTGTATGCTGTATGTTTTGCTGTATGATGCATACACGTGCTCCAAGTTTTTCTATCACCACGTGCTCGCAATATATCTCAGATTTATAAAAAAACATTTCTCTATTAAAAGAAATGTTAAGAAACTGTTTTTTCTTTAAAATCTTTAATTATGTCTAATCGATCATTGGTTTTGGTCAGATTAATCGTCAAGACATTTCAACCATAATATACCTATTATACATAATTACATTACATAATTATTACATTATTCATAACATTACATTATTCATGACCTTATATATTTCCCTTATGAGGACCTAATATAATTTTACAAGGGCCTGATTGTGATAACTTATAAGGACCTTATAGAAAAACTGCGTTACACGTTTACTTAGGTACCGATAAGGCAATAGTATCAGTTTCTGACAACTAAATCAGGCAAATATTATATGATCCTTATTTGAACCCTAGTTTAATTTCCAGTCGGGATATATATATTATATATATTATATATATAAGAGAGCATCGTGTAACTAAGTTATTTGTGAGTTCGACTGATATATTTTAATCCTCGGTTGTCACACGGTCAAAGTGACCCCAGATTATTAATTTTTTTATTAAAGTAACATATCTTAAGAATACTATGCAAAATTTTGAGCAAAAAACATTGAAAATGAAAGTTATGATTTTTTAAGGATTTTTTTTTAACATGATGCCACTTAAAAAGTTAATTTTTTATAATGAGAATACATTCTACAATGTTTAAACTCAATTCTAGAATTTTTTGCGATCCATTTAAACTGTTAGTTTTTGAACAGCAGCTGCTTGAAAATTGGTTAGGGTTAAATTGACACCGTGTGACAAACGTGTTCGAAAAAAGAGGTGTGACAACCGAGGGTTAAATTTTATGTATGTACATAATAGTCTATAATAGAAGTACAATTTGTTAACAGGAAAGTTAAAAAAGTAGTTTTAGCGAAAATTAATGCTTTTAAAAATAGATACCTTATATATTATTCTCTGTAGAACAAGCTTTGTTTTGTTAATTAAACTCTTTTTCTACAAGACTTGCATTCCAATATTCACTTCCAGTACTAAAAATCTATAGTTTACATTACGTACACATGCAAACAATAATGTCAGCACCAGCAATGTAAATGAAAGCAAGATAAACTTAAATTATATAATCTTTACGCTATAATTATAAGTATATAATATTATAATGTATTTCAGCATATGTTAAAAAATTAAGGATTATTACTCTCTATATTTTTTGTCTTCTTTCAGAGAAAAAGTATGACATCCCATTATCAATCCTTTTATTGCGAGAGTTGTAATCGATATCCCTATAACGGCAAAGTATCGGTAGGAGAAGAGGATAGTGTTGACTTCATCTACCAATTTGTGAAGAAAAGATCTGTTGCCAAGAACCACCAAAATATTAGCATATTTCATACTGCTCCTGACATAATTGGGCCACCCAAATTTCCAAACTATGGAGAACTATTTCATTTACCATTTTTCCTTGGACATATGTTGGTATGTGCATTTCCCGGTATTATGTTATTGTCCCGTGGAAAGTAAATCTAAACTTACAAGAGTTTGTCGTATTTGATACTTTTTGACTTTTTAATACAGAGGAATAATGATGTCGATATATCGCAATAGCTCCATGGCAAAACACAGAGCCTATGAGGCGGCTTGATTTTGTACGATGGTATGAGGCGACGATCGAAAATAATTATATTGGTAATATTTTAATTGATAAATAAGATATTGTTAAAGAAGATATATTTTTGCATGTTAAGAAGAGAGTATAATTATATTTTCGATTTTAAAGATGTCGAATTTCATGAAGCTGATCCAATCAGAGTCTCTATATACGAAGTATATAATCCTGGAAACGTGATTCAAATTTGGGCTCAAGATCCTAATAAACAGTGGTTTCAGTTGTGGAATGGATCGTCTCAGATTGTACCCCCGACATCAAGATTATTCTCTCCACCCTTATCACATCCGTGCTACTTCAAAACTAAAATGCTCAGACTAGTATTTGAGAACAGCTCACCTAAATCTTACACAAAGCTAGATGCTGTGATGCTCATTGGTACATCAGATTTGATCCTTCCTAGATATCCTAGAGAAAGTTTACAAAATCTGTTAAAAAATTTTAACTGCATGTACTCTCCATGCCATGACGATGTTCATAATTTAACAGCAGATTTAAAAAGTGCATACTCTGATATAGTACATCTCCAACAGAATTTTCCCGAATATTGCTTTATTTGCAAAAGGTATTATTATCGTCGATATTAAGTAATATTTAAATTCTTTTATTTTGTTAATAATGAAAATAAATTTTTTCTGATGTTATTTACAGAGGTCTATGGATTTGTCAAGAAGTAATTCTTGCTGGTTATGCGCAACCAGTTAGACAAAGAGATTCGCGTCGCATTTTATTAAAAAGTCATTCGAATTATGCAAAGCGTATGAAACTCTTTTCGGATGAATCCAAGGTGCTACTACGTTGCAGTTTGTCTGCGCTTCCTGTAAAGTATCCTAAGAAGTCTCTTTCTAATAATAATATTTATTGCAATGTTATCTCGTATATTAAAATTTTATATTTTATCTTTGCAGGATGAAATGCTATTAAAAATATTAAAAAACTTAGATTTGACGACGTTATGCCGCATGAGTAAAATAAATAGGCGCTTCAATTATTTAACACGGGATCCTGAACTCTATACACGGTTGAACATGCGAAATGTATCTCCCATATGTATCAATATATTTCGTTACTTTACATCTAGATGTAAATATTTGCAACAGTTAGATCTTACAGCAAGCAAATTTCATGTTAAGAATTTCGTAAAGTTTCTTGATAATTGCGGCAGGCGTTTAACGCACTTAAGATTAAGTTACTGCTAATCTGTTCACAAGGTTGTCCTATTTAAAATTTCAGAGATGTGTAAAAATTTGAAAGGTATGTATATATGATACATATAAAATATATGATTGTCAAGATTATGGATAAATTGTGTATATAACCATTACATATTTTTCTCAGAATTGGATCTAAATAATTGTCTTAAGATAAACGACGAAGGATTTTCGTGTCTCGAAAAGCTAAATAATTTGGAACATTTAAATCTTTGTGACACACGTATAACATCTGAACGTCTTTGCAAAATACTGCAAAAAAATCAACGGATGCGTGAGTTACATTTGGCACCTGTATTGCGTACAAACCTAGACATAGACGCAGTTGCAATAAAATTGAGATATTTATGTCCTAACTTGAAAGCAATAAATTTACATAGGACACTTAATCATACATCGAAAAGTATTAACGCTTTCGCTGACTGTAAGAATTTACGAAAAGTGTACCTTCCCTTGTAAGTGTGTGCTACATTTTCTTTTACAATACATGTTACCGTATTCTTTATCAAAATTTTTGTATTTGCTTCTCTTGCATTTCGAGCATCTTGAGAAAGTTACATTAATTTTTTTTGCGATTAAAATACTATAATAACTATATGATTTTTGTTACAGATACGGATACCCAATCGCTGCTGATAGTTTGTACAAATTACTTTCTTCCTGTCAACGCTTAGAAGTAGTTTGTTTGTGCCGTATTGTCCTCACTAATCGCAATTTGGAATTACTAACGCAGTGCAGAAACTTGGGACGATTATATCTGTTTCGGGTGGAACTTGATACACCTGATAAATATTCCATTATTTTAGAACAATGTTCAAAACTGCAAGAGTTTTATCTTATATTCTGTAATATTAGCGATTGCTTGGTTAACCAATGGAAGGAAAGATATCCACATGTGTCCGTCTATACGTTCGACAATGATACATACGACGGCGTAAATCTAGATTTGTGTGTAGATCGTAGAGAAAGTTTGGCTATTTTGAATCACTCTTTTTTAATACAACTTGAAAACTGTTAAAGATAGCTGAACTTTGTTTACGCTGAGTTGTAATGCCAAATGTTTGTTATAACGTGTTTCTAGCCAATTTTGTTTATTTATAGTAAGTTTAATGTTACAACAAAATTTTCGAAGGTAGATTTTTGTCGAGTAATTTGAACTATGTTGGGCAAGGTGAATTACTTTATTAATCTGGCAAAAAATAATTTTTATCGTGTTTTAAAGCGTTAGTAATAAATGTTTAAGATGTTAATAATAAAATAGTCTGTAATAATTATTGTATTATTTATATTTTATTGTAATTTATTACAATCTTTACCAGCTTCTCCATTTATTTTATTGTAATTTATTAAAATCTTTACCATGCAGCTTCTCCATCATGAAATAGATTTTTTAGCCTATTCCGTGTAGCGAGTTTTGATAGGCCATGGATCTCAAGTCTTGTTAAGGAGGTTTACCTACTACTTTGGAGTAAAAAATGCGATTGAATAATAATGTCATTACAGCGATCCCGAATTATATGCAATATTAGTATAATGAATTGTGGATGCTAGTTATGTGCTATATTTTTCGTAAATTATTAGTGTATAGAATATTAACAAATACAATGCCGAAGTATAAGAGCGTCAACAACTCAGGAATCGTTGTCAGGTACTTATTATCCAACATTATAAAGTAAAAGAAAAATCACAAATAATTTATGAAAATCTATATAAACAATTGTCAGAGAATACTAAAGATTTAAAATGATTAATACACTGATGATTGCGTGGATTCATGATTAGTGGTTAAACACTGTTTGTGAGTTGTGAGGTTGGATTCGCATCAGTTGTTGCGTTGCCAATGGCAACGTCTGTCATTACTACTTTGATCCACGAGGTAAAAGTAAATTAAGCTTTAAATCCACACGGTAAAATCCTATTTTTAAAGTTTTTATGCAATCCTTGATGTTTTATCTGTCAAATGTTAGTTCTTCAAAATCCTAAGTTGGCTAAGTGTGTATTAAATCAGTGATCATTTACCTCAGAGCGACCGTTTCTCATGAGGCGATGGGCTCAAAGTGGTCAACTTTTGAATAATATTTAAAAAAACTATACGGTCAATATTGCTTAACTTTTGGGATTATTTGTGTAAAGCGTTTATGTAAATTATATAAAAAAATTAAGACTCTAAGTTGACTTTCGACTAATAGGCGAATTTCCTTAAGTCGTAGAATTTTGCTTCCACTATCTCGACTTGTCCAAAATCACTATTTTTACCTTTTTATTATATAAAATAGAAATGTATACTATATGACATTTACTAAGTATATTTATTTTCATATTTTTCTAAAACTGAATAACTTATCAAAATTATATGATTACAAATATCAAGTGACACTGTAGCGTCGCGACATCAAGTACATAAAAAGAGAGCTATGTAGCAGACGATGCTTAGCAGAACGGCATGCTATTAAGTAGTTTATTCAAAGTTTTTGAGTCGATCAATTTTCCGAATTTCAAGAAAAAAAATTGTGATCGAAAATCTGACGACAGTTTTCTAATATAACATTGATATGAGCTTTCGATTGCGACCAGTCTGATTAAGATTGATGCTAATATACTGCTCTCGAAATCTCACATGTCAAAAATCCTCGGCGAGATCTCAACAAGAGATTCAGATTCCAGTCAAACACGAGTTTGCTCATGCACTCATAAATGCAAAACCCTCAATTTGTCCCTCAAAACACATTCATACCACTCTGGTCAGAGTGGTCAGTGCAGCCGCATTCATATGCTCATATTTCTTGACTCTGATTGAGATATTAATTGGTTATTTCGCTTGTGCGTTTTACATGCATAATTTAATTATGTGCGCGTACGCATATATGTAAAGTTTGTCAGATTTGATATTGTGAGGTTACGTGAAAATGATAATTATGCATTGTAGAGGGTTCTCCTACAATTACTTTAACCTTGACATACATATGTTGTCAAGGGTATCATCCTGATTAACGTACAAAAGATTTTAGTAGTTAAGATTTGGTTGATTAGAACCAGCTTTATACGCGATTAAAAGTCCATATGCGAAGTCCATATATGGACCATGTAGCCTGTACTCCCAAAGTCAATATCGATTTGACATTGCGTCGATTGTAGAACCCCACTTGTGCTACTAAGCTAACCTTCTATCAATTCATAAAAAGATTAAATTTAAAATAAAAAAAAGTGTACAAATTAGAAACTTGCACATTGTTTCCTTATCATTACAGGTCGCTACCATTCCTCCTATTTTATTTCGCTTATAAAGTTTCCTCTATGAGGAAGCCAAAAACTAATTTAAATATTAAATTATGCATTGAATAAAATACAAGCTTCCTCAAAGAGGAGCTTTGTGAGTGAAATAAAATAGGAGCAATGGTAGCGATCTGTAATAATGAGGAAGCAATGTGCAAGTTTCTAATTTGTACACTTTTTTTGTTAGGCGCGGTGGAAGACTGCAAATTTCAAGATTTTAAATATCTCAAATACGTCCATATTCAAAACTGACCACGCCTTTGAGTATACACCTGAGTGAAAATTGAACAAAAGCACCTTATAGTAGAGAGTTTGCCCTGTAAAACCTTTTTTTAAACTTTTTTTTACGTTAATTATTCGCTGAGTAATTACAGTTTAAAAATCGGCAAAAATTTACTGACAAAAAGTGATCCCCTAATTTTTTTGAGCAGTGTATATATATATATATATAAATATAAAACTACATATTTTATTTGCAAGAGAAGGCATTATATGTGGGTGGAATTTCTCGAACGTCACATATGTTTGCATTGCATAAGAACAATTTTTATCGAAAATATATTCTTGCTCTGTTCTCAAAATACTTTTTTGCTTCTCGGACGGAATTCAGATCGCGACCAAGGCATAATCTTACTTGGGAATTCCACGGACGATGGAAAGTAGCTTTGCGGTTACCATAAGCACCTCCGACGCAGCAGTTACAATTAAACAAAAATTGTTCAGAAAGTAGTCGAGATAATGATTTAACGCGAAAAAATTTAAGCTCATTTTTGAAAGCCTTTATGATCTCATCTAATATTAATTGATATTTCGGCAACTGAAGTGTTAAAGATAAGCTTTCATGGCCTTTTGCGCTTAAAGGCCAAGATATTTCGCAAATCTACCCGTGTTAAGTTATTTTAGAAAATAGAGAGAAAATATCATCTACAAAAACGTTCGCCATTTTTAAAATAAAGAAAAATCTTCGAAAAATTCCATACGAAATTAATGCTTTTGTAAATTGTTTAAGTAATTTTTCTGTAAACTGTTTAAGTAATTGGATTTGAACATTAAATGATTTCAGTGATATATAGTTACAAACAAAGAAAAAGTAAGAAAATACATAATTAAAGGATAAAAGTTTTTCTTTGTCATTCAAAACGATTTTTCTTTCAAATTCGAAAGTTTTTGATTTTTAAAATATTTGCTGGTACTAAAAATTCAACAAGAAACAAAACACTGTTTTCTTTTATATTTGTGTTTTACAACATAGCTGAAGAAACAGCAATCATAATGCGTGTGTCACCGAACTTTATCGTCTTCTCTAAGTTTTCCGCGAACTGTATGACAGAACTTCATGCCATTTATGGCGTTATTAACTTTCCGGTTCTATGTCTCTCGTCATATATGCAAACTTTATAAGAGTCGCATAGAATTAACGGATCTTTTCGGTTCTTCTTTACGGAAACTATTCGACTCTTCAAAACGTCAGTGGCGTCTAAGACGAGACTAATCTAATTTAAAATGTCAGCGTCAGTTCAACCGTCGACGGATTTTATTTGTCGTTGCGAATGTATTGGATTTGTCGCTTTAATTGCGAGCGTGGCTATTTGACGGCGTCAATCTTATTTTTTCGGCGCAAATATTATTAAAAAAAAAAAAACTAAGGCGATTTTAGGTGAGTTTCTGGAAATAATCTGTGCTGTTCATTTATATTTTTTCAATAAGCGCGAACTAACTTATATGAGCAAGTTATTAAAATTTTCGTTAAAACTTATAACTACATAAATTTTCATACAAACACGTACAACGATAGTTTTACATACATTTCGTGCTTAGTAGAAAATTGAGAGAATAATGATTCTCCGATATCTTTTAACGTAAGCTGTTCACTCAAATCGAACTATGTATCAAAATCAATTTTCCATTTGTTCTCCGTATATTTTTAACTCAAAACATTATTAGCGATATTTGCAACACAACTGTCGGGATGGAACACCATAGATCCTCTTATCACATTAACCACTTTGACTTCTCGACATTTATTGTTCTTATCTTTTCTACAATTTAATTATAAGACATGAAGTTCCGATCCATAAATTAATAAATTATATTATAATAAAAATTCTTGTGTGATAATGAGTTTACTGAGGCTGAGGCTCTAAAATTTTATAGGATGTTTTGATATATGTAATAATTAATTTACACTGGGGATGGGTTAATGTCAGGCCAAAACGTACGCCAAATTTTGACCTAATTAAAGATTAAGACATCAATGACATCTTGTTACGGCTCTGTGCTCTTTCCATTTAATTATTGATTAAAATCTATTTTCTTAAATATCATTTACGGTGCAAAGAATATTGCCTACATTTCAAATTTTTTTTAAAAGAAAATGATTAGTTGATATCGTAAATTATGTCATGTGCATCGCACGTTTTTTTTATCTCTTCACGTTTGGAACAATCAGAAATAAAGCATGAAAATTTCATACGACAGCAGCAAACCTGTCTATTGAGAAAGGTTACGATTTGTGATTCGAGTCGCCAAATTTATCATATCTAGTTTTACCAATTTTGCCGGTCAAATTGAAATGATAACAGGATAGAATAGGAAACGTCACATCTGTGCATGTACTGGTATATGTTAGTACAGATTTTCGATAACTAAATGTATCAAAATTTATGAGTGAAGTTTTGACGTCACGATATCTCTCCAATCTCTCGCTATTCGTCACTGTCGCAGTATGATGTACGCATCGCATACATTATATTCTGGTGGCACATATGCCATAAATCACAATTTAAAGTTCTTTATATTCTTTCTATTCTAATAAGCTGTTTTGTCAGAACTTTTTTTTGTTTAAAGGCATTTAATTTGTCCAATAGTATACATTAAATTTGCATTTTTGCAACTGCATAAAATAATTTTATATATAATTCTATAAATAATATTATTTAG